TTTTTTTTTAAATGACTTTACTTATTTATTGGACAAAAAGAGAGAAAGGGGGGAGAGAGAGCACAAGCACGGGGAGCCGCAGAGGCAGAGGGAGAAGCAGGTTCTCCACTGAGCTGGGAGCCTGCTGTGAGACTCTATCCCAGGACCCTGGGATCACGACCTGAACCGAAGGCAGACGCTTCACCAACAGAGCCATCCAGGTGCTCCTCCGTAAAGAATTCTTAACTGAGTGGCAGCAAGTCACTCCCACTGGTGTTCCGTGACAGTGAGCAGTAGCAGAATCTTGTGGAGATTCGGGGTGGGGGGGGCGAGGCCTGGGGCCTGGGAGGGCATCAGACGGCCGTTTCTGACCCAGGGTTATAGCAGGTGGAGTCACTGGGTAATTACTTTTAATGACTCGAAGGAATCCCAGGTGTGAACCAGGTCGGCAAGCCAAAGGGAGACTCTTTGGGGGTGGAAGGCAAGGCTGCATGCAGAGTGAGGCAGACCGCTCTGGGGGCAGCTGAGGGACGCCACCAGAGGCCCAAGGTCATGGCCAGCTGCTGCAGCGTGTCATCTAGGGTTCCCATGGGGCCTGCTGACCAGGCAGGGCCAGTGGCACAAAAGGCACTGAGGGACTGGCCAGGGGGCTACGTTGTGGGGAAAGCACGTGGCTATGGGTGTCATGGTCCTTGTGTCTGTGTGTCAGTGGTCTTGCATTCTGGATTACATATCACCCTCCCACAGGCCTTGTGGTCTGTCCATACCATGTTCCTGACCTTATCTCCTCCATGTTCACCCTCACCATGTCCCACCCGCCCCGGCCTTGTGCTCTTTCTCTCCCAGGTGCTCTTTGCCTTGCTTTTGCTTTCGATTTTCCTCTTCCAGAGTGCCCTTCCCCACGCACACCTTTGCCCACCGCCCCCCACCCTCCCAGGTTTCTGCTGACCTTCCATGTTGTCTGTGAGGCCTTATCTCTGGTGACGGAGACACTAGGAGCCGCCCAGCCCTCACCACCTGCTACCCCCTCTCGCCCGGCCTACTTTCCCTCATGGCCTTTACCATGGCTTGGTAGCTTCTCTAGTGATTTGTGGGTCTTCTTTCCCAGTGGAATGTCAGTTCCCAGAGGGCAAGGACTTGGGTTTTTCCCTGCTGCTCTGTCAGCAAGGCCTGGAATGTCGTCAACAAATCTGTGCTGCTAACAGACATAGAAAAACACAGATGAGCAAGATGATTTATGGCACCCCTTTTCGTAATGGAAAAAAGCTAGGAAGTGCAAAGTCCATGGCCAGGTGACAAGCTCAATCAATGGTGTATCCAGGTCATGGAGCAGTACGGGCTGTAGGAGAGAAGGTGTCTCCTGGCCACGAGTGGCTAATGTCGCCAGCAGATTTGAAAGAGGAGGAGAATTGCGTGCAACGTATGCACCCGTATATCCATGAAAAGGCACCGTAAGGGTGCTCACACGTGCGTGCAGAAGCAACAGAAGTGTAAATCTCCAAACTAAAGGAGAGAGGGCGCCTCTAAGGGAAGGGAAGGAAAGGGACAGGGTGGAGGAAAGAAGTGACAGGTAGAGAAGCTAAAATTCTCTGACTAGGCCCTATCTTGTCATTGGACTTTTGAACCATGGAAACATTCTACATAATTGTAAAAAACAATAATAATAATAATCGCAGGTAAAACCATTCCTAGTGTGCCTGGGGGGTTTAGTCAGTCAAGCACTTGCTTTTGGCTCAGGCCATCATCTTGGGGGCCCGGCATAGAGCCCCACATCCAGCTCCCTGCTCAGAGAGGAGCTTGCTTCTCCCTCTGCCCTTCCCCCCGCCCCCCCGCCCCCCGCTCATGATCTCTTTCTCACACACTCTCTCTCTCAAATGAATACATAAAATCTTTTTTAAAAAACCATTCATAGAAGTAGAAAGGAAAATGAAAGAAATTCTGTAATGTATGTATGGGCTTTCATAGGCACACAAAGAGAAAATATTCCAAGTGATTTTGATAGTAATTTGTTTATATGTCCCTACTATGATATGCTGTCAGGACAGAAAGAACTGCTAACGGTATTAAACAGTTCCCAGAATTTTATTTCTGGTGACGGTATGACCATTCTTATTCTGGGGCTGCGGTGTGCATAAGGGAAATGAGGAATGGTACGTGGCACTGAAAACCAGAATGCCAAGGATGGGAAAAAAGGAAAGATACAGGTGGGTTATCATGCTTGAGTAAAACATTTGCATCCTGAATCTGGATTGGAAGTTGGTAGTGTGAATCAAAACGTGGCTTTATACTTTAAAATTTTCCTAGCTTTATGAAAAGACCTGGCAATGACTAAACTAGCATTAACTAGTACTCGTGGAACCCTGATTGGGGTCTCTAAATACCATTCCCTACTGAAAGGAGCCAGGGCCCCTTGGAAAGCGTGGGTATGGATTCTGGTTCAAGGTCAATGCAGAGTGAGTCTGGAACTTGTCATAATGCCAAGTCGGGAAGCATCTGAGATTACCAAGGTCACCTCAGAAGAACTGAGGAATAGAAGGGGCAACACCTTAGCTGCAGTGATGGAAAGAAAGTCCATGGTTGCCTGGTGCCCCAGGTTTGGGGGAGAGGGACTGACTGCAAGGGGACATGAGATCAAGAATTTGCTAGTTACTTCTTGTAGAATTCTAGGACCCACTATGGGAGGGGAGGGTCCTGGGGAACCAGGATCACAGACTAAAGGTAACATGTTTGGACAGCTTTGTGATAGGTGGAGCAGGTGACTGCCCGTGGGCTTCCTAGAACAGCCAGTTGGGGCAGAGCCCACACAGGAAGTAAAGATGGAAAACTGCCCCGAATCAGCTGCCACCTCCTCTCTGCCCTCCTTCCAGATGATCCCTTTCTTTCTTCAGCTCCTGACCCATATTTTGGATTATCTACTTGTACTGTCCCCTGATGTCTCATAAGCTTTTGGCTTTCCCAAATCCCAGGCTAATTCTTTGACCTCTTTCTCCTGTCCCCTAAACATTGAAATTATTCTAGCCTTTTCCATCTTCTGGGAAAGAGTTACCACCTTCCTCTGGGTGGCTCAGTGTAGGACATGGAGTCAATCTTGACATTTTTTCCTTCAGCTCCCAACCCCCCTCCCATAAATGAGGGCTGTCCGTTCCACCTTTGGAGTTAAGTCCCAAATTGTCCTTTTTCTGCTGGTCTGCCAGCACTGCCCACACACCTCTTTTGGGCCATGACACTGGCTTTCAAACTTGTCCTCCTCAGATCTGCTCTCCACACATCATCCCGAATGCCTTATAAAACAAACCAGATGCCATCCCTCCAGAGTCAAAGAACGTCATTCACTTTTCTTTTGATTTCTTAAAAAATCCAACCTTTTCTTCACGCCTAGTCTTTCTGTACGTGGAATGTTCCCAACTAGTGCCACAGCCCTATACCAACACAGACCTCATCCCCAACTCCCCAAATCCCTAAGGACCCAGCATGAAAGTCAGGTCTTCCTGATGTCTTCCTTCCTCTCCATCCCAGGATAAGTTAAGGCTCCCTGCTATCCTTGGATACTACTCTATACTGACTCACCTAGTGTCTCATCTGCTTGTAACTGTCCATGCACTTATGGGTTATTTGTCATCATATAAGACTGTAAGGTCCCAGGGGCCAGGGGTCAGTTTTGTTACCCACTGCTCTATCCCTCATCAAAGATTACATTAAATATTTGTAAAGCTAATAAATGAATGAATGAATGAATCTTCACACCACTGACATCTTACCAACCCACTCGTTCAATGCCTTTAAAAGCCTCCAGCTTCCTGTAAGCCTCCAACTTGCATCGGGAGCCCAAGCTGCTTCTGTAAGTGCTCCATATCACACACTCCCACCCCACACCCTCTTGTTTCTCATCAGCCAACCCACAATTTCCTTGGCCTCTGCAGCTCCATTTTTCCTATTAAAACCTTTATCACTCTTGAAAGGTCAACTCCAACTCTGCCTTGTGTGCTGACGTCCTTCCTGCCTCTAGAAGTCTTGAATGTTTGCTTGTGACACCCTCCCTGGCTCGGGCTTCTTTCTGCCTTACTGTAAATCAGGTGCTTTCATATCTTCCTTTTCCACCACACTGAGAGAAGATAAATGCCTTAGTTGTGCTTCTCTTTGTTGCTTTGATAGTCTTCTAAGTTTGTGGCTCATAGGTGTTGCTCTAGATGTGTTTGTTGAATCAAGGAAAGCATTATTTAATGAAAACATCGTCCTCTGCAGTTACAAGATTCCATCTTTCCTCAGTATAAGGCTTCTAAGCAAAGGAAGGCATTGAGAACCTTGCTATAGGCTGATTCCCCTAGGGGGTTTCTATTAATCACTTAGTGGTGGGGACCCGGTGACAAGAGCTATGGAGGAAAAGCAATGAGCCAAGAGAAGCAAAACCCTACTGCAGGCACATGATGGCCTTTGCCCGCAGTGTGGTCTTCCAGTCGCCTTTGCAGATGGAGACAGAGGCACCTTATCAACAATGAGGAGTTAGACCATTTCCATTTCTTTTACATTATACTTTAGGACCCTAAATATAAGTATGCCGGATATTCATCTCACCACGATTTGGTTTCAGAAACATAATCAGAATTGTTTAAGAGACAGAGGCTGTTTCTATTTTGGTCCCGGCAGAGGAAATTCAGCCTTTGTCCGTTTTTACAGTTTGATTTATGGGAGGTTAAAAATTCATAACGTAGGAGCTAACCTCGAGCAAATATTGTTCTTTGCATGAGCCAATTCAAACGTTCTCTCCTCTCGGATTTCCTGTCCAAAAGGTTGAGAAGGGTGAAGTTGAGCTGTAGTAGAGCTGTTGGATGGGCTGAGAATCGGGCGGCCTCTGCTGGGGTCTGGGGGCTCGCGGGGGCTCAGTCTGGGTTGCAAAGAGAAGGGATGGGAGCCACCCCGCTTTCAAGAGCACTTTCCACATCGTATGCCTTCTGTTTGTTATCATACTTACTCCTCTAGTGACCCCAGGACAAAATGCAGGCTTACTTCTCTTTCCTTTCCAGAAGCAGGAACCAAGGCAGTTCATGCGTAACCCACCCTGGCTTGCTCTGCACATGAATGGACAAACCACTTGGTAGGATCATCACGCTGTGTGCTGGGATCTGGGCTGCAGACGGGATGAGGGAGGCGTCACCACTCACGAATGACTGGCTGTCCTGCTGTCCAGAAGCCAAGATGCAGAGAACTAACGTTCACGTTTCCTACTAACCCAAAGAGTCCTCATGGAGCAGGGTCTTTGCTTTCTCTCTGACGCAAGTGCACCAGAGCCCTGAGCTTTGTGGCTTGTGGACGCATGAGAGCATCCGACCTTGACAGCATGGCTGGGCATCTTGCTGTGGCCAGAGGCAGGTCTGCCCCCTTCCCTGTGCACACAGCTTATGGTGCTTTACATTTCCTCCCACCCACCTGGGCTCTCGCTTGTTCTGGGCCCAGGCCTGGCTCACAGAATCCTCTGGGCATCGGGAGGCAGCATCAGCACCTGAAGACTCCCTGGTGGGTGCTGTGACCCCCTTGTTGGTTCAGCCTTTTCCCACATGGCTCCCCTCCCGCATTCTGCTTACAGGGTGTTTGATGACACAGCACACTGGCTCCAGGGTCCTCTGAGTGTGGGTACAGGCCCTAGAGACCACATACTACCATACCCCATCAAAACCCATCCTAACTCTGGACTGCAGAAGCTGTGAGATAAAGAAGCAATGACCAGGAGCAGTACCCATGCAAACAGACATGGAGACCACGATGGAGGTAGCTGCGGGGTGGGGTGGGGGTGGGGGGGGGGGAAGGGAGAGAAAGACAGGTGTGAGGTTCTCCATGGCTGTGCCGGGCTGACTCGGGGGGTGGGGGTCAGATCTCCCCCTGATGCTTCCACAGCCTCAGAATCTGAGAGCTGTCTCCAGCTTCCTCATGCCCCATGATAAAAATGGTGCAGATTTTACAGTTCATGTAGTGCTGCCTATGCCTGATGAGTTCTCATTCAGTTTTTTAATTTTAAAAATAAAAACATTTCCCTGCTTTGAAAATGAGGGCTCACCTTGGAGTCTGGGGTGACTATGTGCATATTTCACAGGGATTGGGTTCGATTCAGGAGCAACATGGTGGGGGGCTACCCCCAGTCCATTGTCTGCATGAGAACAGGAGGGTAGGTCCTGGAGAAGAGGGGGAAGACTTGACTCTCATTCCTGCTCTTTGCTTGAATCCAACATTAGTCAGAAAACAGAGCAGACATCCCCCACTACCTGAAAACTATTTTGTGAGGCCATCCATGATGTTCCCATTCCTGTCCACTTTTATTATTTCTGTTTCTTCAACTTCTAGTCTTGAATGTGGCTGGAAGCAGAAGAGTAAAGACAATATAGCTCATGGTCTCGTTGGCTGTGCCTGAAGCCCTGGGGACAGAGGCAAATTCTGGGAGAGGTTGTAATTGATGCAAATGACTCTGGATGAAACAAGGGTTTAATCCACAGGGGGAAAGAATGCACCATTTACCAGACAAAATGAATGAAAGCAGACCGACAATACACATATTAAGTTGTTTTTTTTTTTTAAGGAAAAATAAAATTTCTCTCTATATTTATTTATTTATTTTTATCTTTTTAAAGATGTATTCATTTATTGTAGAGAGGGAAGGGACAGAGGCAGAAGGAGAGAGAGAGAGAGAATCCCAAGCAGACTTCATGCTGAGCCCAACGTAGGACTCAATTTCACGACCCTGACGTCATGACCTGAGCCAAACCGAGAGTCAGATGCTCAACTAACTGAGCCACCCAGGCACCCATCTCTCCATATTTAGGTGAAGGAGGAAATGGGGGAAGATTATTTAAAAAGAGACAAAAATTAGTCTGGCATCAGACATTTTCTCTGTAACACTCAAAGTCCAAAGACAATGCTCCAAAATTTGTACACTTGTAAGAAGCCAAAAAACCAAGAGCAAAGACTTTTGTACCCAGTCAAGTTCTTATAGTACAAGGTCATTTTCAGTGGTACAGTGGAATCTAAAACCACCACTCTGGTTCTCTTCCTGAAATAACCTGTTAGAGCTATATTCCAGCCAACAGAAAAACAATCAGTATCAATTTTTTTTTAAGTGCTTTCTTCACTCTTTTAGTTCATAAGCATTTAATGAATAGCTATAGGGTGCAAAGCACTGTGCTAATAAGTAAAATGCTAGATGAAAGGAGGTCCACATCCCTGGGAAAACCACAGCCCAGAGAGACAGTGAAATAAACAGGCAAGCACTTACTATCTGGACAGGTGGCCTGTCAGGACAGGTGGCATGACATTGTGGTGAGACAAGTATAGGCTTCTGTGAAAACCCTAAGTGCGAGACCTGGTCCAGGTTTGGGTAGTCAAGGGCTGGCTTCTTGGAGAATGTCTAGTCTGAAACCAGAGGGATAAGGAGGATTAAAGCTAAAGAATAGGTGGAAGAAGGAAGGGTGCTTCCCAGGGAAGAACAAACCCAAGAGCATGGGCCTAGAGAGGGCGCATGGTCCTGAAGAACAAAACCAAGTTCAGGGTGGCCCCAAAATTATCATTGAACATGACAGCTACACAGCACCATGTTCAATGATCCATGAGCCCCGGGCAGAGGCCTGCAGGTCTCAGCCACCGTCCTATCCCAGTTCTTGGCTCAGTGCCCTGCTCACTGTAGGTCCTCAATAGTTATTTGTTGAACGAAAAAAATGAGTTATGTCAAGGTGGCCCCCAAAGAGAAAAATCCATATGTTCTAAATGTAAATTACTAAAAACAGCAATGATAATGTATCAATCTAGGACTATAATGTAAAATTAATTTAACAAAGACTAGGAAATAATTGAGGGCACAGGAAAGGATACGGTACAATAAATTTTGTTTTATGTAAGAAGGAGCCATAGTCATGGCTTTGATCTTGACTTAAATGATTAGAAGATTATGTTTAAGTAGATACTTGAAAAATTAAAAGGATCCACTGGTGTAGTTTTTTTTTTTTTTTTTTAAGCTGTGCACATAACACAAAATGTAAAAAGGAAGCTGCAGTAAAGCATAAACCAGAAAGAAAGCAGACCAAAGCCGGGTGAGAGACGTGCACCAACCATTTGGGTAATGATAATAAATGTCAGAATTCTAATTCCATTATATCAAAGCTAAGTTGAATGACAGGAGGCAAAAATTGAACTACATAATACAAGAGACAGACATGAAGGAGAGATCTTTTATCATTTAAAATAAGGGGCTGGGCAAAGATGGAGAAGAGGCTCATACATGCAGAGAGGGAGGGTGATAATGTTAATATCAAGAAAATATAGACATTGATCAAGAAGCCTTATAGTTGTAATAAGAGTCATGTTTTGCTGAGAGGTCACAATACTGAAAATGGTCTTTAGCCTTCATGCACTGATAAACTTAGTATTGGCATTTCTAAATTTATACTTTAGAAGTCAAGATCAAAAATATAATTGTTAGGGAAAATTATCAATCCCAACACCCTGTGACAGATCAAAAGCCCAGGAAAGGAGATAAGGCTTTGCAGTTATATTTGTTGCCTGTGGCTGCAGTAACAAATTTCCACCCACCTGACTGTTTAAAAGAACACACCTTCATGCTTTGACAGTTCTGGTTTTTAAAATCAGTAACTGGTTTTACTGGGCTGAAACCAAGGTGTCGGCAGAGCCCACTCTCTCTGGAGGCTGCAGGAAACCCTGTTTCCTTGCTTCCTCCTGCTCTGGGGCTGCACTCCTTGGCCGGTGACCCCTTTCTTCTTCAAAGCCTGCAAGGCAGCTTCCTTGAGTCCTCTCATTGTCTTCTTCCATATTGGATCTCTCTCTCTCCACCTTCTTATAAGGATACTTGTGACTGCAATGAAAGCATATCTGGATAATCTGGGACCCTCACCCCATCTCGAGATTCTTAATCGCATCTGCAAAATTTCTTTTGTTGTATAAAGTAATGTTCTCAGTTTTCAGGGATTAGGATTTGGGAGCATTACTCACTCAACCAACTGCAGTGATAATAGTAAGACTTGACAAAGGTCATGCTCACCCTAACGGGACTACTTATTTTCAGATGCCCATGGAACAATTATAAAAGTGATATAAAATTGACTTTATAATTACTCTCAAAGAAAAATTATTTGCTGTTACAATCTTCTAAAATTCAAAATTTATAGTAAACATTTAGAAAGAATAACCCAATTACTTGGATATTATAACTAAAATAAAACAAGTCCCAAATAATGAGTAAGGCACCAAATATTATTTCAGATGGTTTAGACAATCATAAAAATGAGGACACTATTAAGGCTGTTAGACAGATCTAGAGAGGCTGATTCTTACCCCTAAATTCTTTCATTATCTAGTGGAAAAGAAAAGAAATATATAAATAATCATTCAAGGCAGGCAATTAATTAGAAAGAACATGGAATAGATAAAAGCAGAAATTAATCAGCTGGAAAAGAGGTAGAATTGGTAAGTAAAATGAGAAGTGATTTATTTGCAGAGATAATAAACACGTCTGCCAAGTGTAATCAAAGAATAAATGGAGAAACAATGGCAAACAAAATGAGAAATGAGAACTCCCATTACCACCATTATATTGCTGTCTTATTTTGAAGGCTCCAAACACAGGACAGAAATAAAGAATATGTACTTGATATGAAGATGAAAGTATTATTATTGCCAGCCAATATGAATATATATAAACACCTCATCATTATCAATCAAAACAACATGAGCATTGTCAGTAGATTCAGTGGGTGAAAATGAAAGTAATAAATAAATGTCAAGTCTTTGTATCTTCTATACCCACTTAGAAAACATCATAATTATTAACACAAATATTATTATTACATTTACCAAGAAATGTGCAATAACAATTGGTTACCAAATGTGTCCTGGATGATAAGACTAACTATTTTGTATGACAGAATTTCCCAGTTTACATGATTTGAGTTATTGCAAACAAAATCTCTATAATACTTTTTGAGAGACTTGTCAAAATAATATCAAAGTTCATTTGGAAGAATGAAGTGATGACCATGAATTTTAAATATTTTGAAAAGGAAATATTAGGAGGGGACGTGGCTTTTCCAAATATTAAAAATACTCTAAAGTGATGCTAATTGTGAGTCCATTTAGCCCTATTATTAGAGAAGGAGTTTAAATATACCATCATCCCCACCGCCATCATCAACACCATTGCCACCATCACTAACACC